TGGCAAACAGGTGAAGGAAATGGTCATTACCTTTGGAATATTTCTGTTGTCAAGATGAGGCAAATTGCCATATTAACCTAAAGAGATGCGCGTGCTTTCCCTCCAATTTTTAATCAGTTTTGTGTACAATGTAGTTGCATGTAGTAATTGCACCACTTTGACTGAGTGGGTACACAGAAGGAAGGGTGCAGGTATGTCAGTTAATTCACGCTTTTGTATGACTGCTGTCAAAATGTTGCACACTTCGTGGCACAAATGAGGTGATTGATTGTATATTTATCGATGTCAAGGTGGAAACACTATATATAAAGGAATTGGAGGGAACTTTAATGTAGTGCTAACCTTAAGGCAACAGATCAGTAAGTCCCAAAATCGGTCAGCCATTTATTGCCAAGTTTTGCCTTTTAAAAAAGACATGCCGCGCCTTATGTGCTTCTTGGCTCTTCTGTGCTCTGTATATACTGATAATCGAGTAGAAACGATGAAGGCTGGTCTGATTGAGGCGCATAAATCTTTTCGAGACAACTTCAAATTCCGAGGCAAAAAATTAACTCCTTTGGTAAGTGCAGTGCTCCGAGTTGTGACTCGTCTCTACTACTTGCCACCTCTCCATACCTTTTCGTTTTTGGCTTCACAATTGTCAGCGTTTCACAAGCTGCCAACATGTCAATTCACATTTTTGCCAACGCTTGGCAAACAACACTGAAAACGGTAGTGGAGTTGCAGCAACTACTTAATGAGGTCTCTTCTCCACTTTTGAACTAGAAATATTCCACGGAGTTGGAGAATCTGGCACGTGTGTGGGTGGACACTTGCAGTACGTCTCGTCCAAAAGATCGCAGATTTGCCAATCTCGGAAGCAATGTGATCTCAAGCCCCATTTATGCATCATTGGTACGGAGGTGGAGGATTCGCATGTCAACTGAAAGAGGCGCCTACAACCCAGCCACAGGCAAATGCACTGCGTCCACGTGTCAGCATTATAGGCAAGTACGTTTGCGTTCAAATATCCACATTCACATTTCTTCTTTAATTTCCCCTCTTTCCATAGGTGGTACAACCAAATGATATCAACTTTGGCTGTGCAGTCAAATTTTGTTTAGTCCGAAAGCCTGCTCCGATCCCCTCGCACCTCTCCGTATGTCTTTACAGAGCTGTGTAAGTAAATCGCCGCTTTGTACAACGCATTTCATGAGAGATGCACATCAAGTGGGCTATACAGCGGCGGCAAAAGCTGTTCTTTCTTTTCCAGAGACCAATGTACTCCCATTCAACAAAGAGAGGGACTTACAGCATGTATAACTAGGAATACCACCACAAGGGGGCAAACTACTACCACCACTATCACCACCACAACTGCGACGAAGGCACCAACAACACCGACGGTAACGTCGAGCACTGGCTCAGACCCTGCTCCTTCTGTATCAACAATCCTCTCTGAGGAAACGCAAAAACCACAGTACTTTACTGTTTTTCCTGTTGATAATGACTCTGAAGTAAAAAGAGGCAGCGACAAAGAAGAGGTGGGAGAAGGAGAGGAAGATGAAGTACAGGAAGAAGACGAAAAAGAAGAAAAGGAGGACGAAAAAAAAGAGAAGGCAGCAAAGGTCTCTGAATCAACTAAACTCTCTCCGCACCTTCTTTACTTTGGAATAATTGCAAATACTCTCTATTCTTGAGGCGCACCAAGTTCTTCTCTTATCATTAAAATGTGATTGGTTAAGTATTCTATTACTTTTAGTTAGAGTACCTGGCTTATACCCCTTTGTGTAATTAAATTCCGGAGCAGTTAATCAGTGTCTTTTTGAGGTACCGCTGTTTGTAGATGTTGAGATCTTGCCGGTTCCACGTTGCATTAATTTTGTGTTTAGTTTGTTGGTTTTGCGTCTGCTTTTTCTTTTGAAAAGTTGTCGTAACAGGCACTTCTAATCTTCCTTAAATTTCGTCTGTTGTAGTTTTGTAAGCAAAGTCTTAGCCACTGGCACTGAACGTGCCATCCTCAAGCTCGGTCAATTTCTTAACCACCGTCTTTAACTGATCCCGCTTTGCCTAGGCGACTAGGACATAATTATTCAACAACTCGTGCAAAATTAACACCCGATGGACTTTTTCCTCCTAGCAATTAAGGCTACAATCGTTTAAGTTGTTGTTACCTGTAGTGTGATTATTTGCCCACGACGGACGCACCGAATTTCATGCTTTAACAGTGACAACACAGCTATAGCAAATTCAAGGGGCTGCAATTGTGGAAGTGAGCTGTAATTTAACTAACGAAGTCAAGAATCCGATCCAATTCACGAGTATTCATAATTTAAATTTAGTGAATGAGCCCGGTGGAAGTGGGCGAAGACCTTACCCTCGGTGTTTAGCTTGCAGTAAAGCCTGATGAAATACAATTAAGGGTGGATGGGTCGTTTGGGAGCACTTTGGGTTGGTAGACATGCAAGTTAAATTTGAAGACAGAGAGGATGGTAATCATTCATCCTCCCTCAAACTCATCCTGTGCACTGCTAGGCGCCATGCCTACAAGAGTACAGAGCCCCACTTTAGGGCTGGCGGATCTAGTTGTAGAGCTGCTAAAACACCACGGTTCTTCCTCGTTTCTGCGACGCTTAGTCACGCACCGCTTTCCACACTGAGTGCCGTGGCTCATTTCTCGTCGTAAGTAGTCAAGGGGACCTCAAAAGGAGAAGTACTTGTGTACCATTATTGTGGGGGTGTTAGGTTGCACCAGTGATCGCTTAGATAGGAAACCAATTCGGCTACCCA